TTTAAATGTACCGATAATTTGATTACGCTGCGCAAGTAGTGCAACACGGCACGAGCCCGGCGAGTTGGCGCGGCGAGCGCCTGTTTCTCGTAACATTCGACGTGCAACGGTCGTGGCGGAAGAATCAAGGATCAAACGTCTGCACACGAAAGATCGATAGAGAGTCGAGAGACCCAGTAAGTATATACATATACATACATTTATTTTGTGTGTGTGTGTGTGTGTGTGTGTCTTATTTGCAAAGATGCATTGATTTCTAAATTATATATTAAACATTATTCTAATTTTTTTATTACAAATTCTTTTTTCAGTAGAAAACATTATGACGTCGATCGCGGCATCGACGGTGATGCTTACGACGACGACGGGGGTAATTGTGAGGATGACAATGACGACGGCGGTGGCAAGACCGGCAGACGAAAATATAATATTGAATGTAAGTATCTATAATTTATTATTTATAAATATAATTTATTATTTACTAAATATAAAAATCTGTCTATTATTATTAAGAATATTAAACTACTAATAAATGAAATAATCCAGATAGCAACGTGTTTGTCTTGTTGCTGGCATGTTGTTTGCAAACTATAGCATGTGTTGCTTTCGCCCGGCCAGTACCATCCTGCCGTCCGTCGCCTAGTCCGCCCTTGGTTCCGCCCTGCTGCCCCTCTACCGTTAGGTAGAGCCGGCCGGCCCTCGCGCGATCGACCTCGGGGAGCGGCGTCCGGTTGTGGATCTCGGTTAGCGTTGTGAGCAATCGCCTTTCGCTTGTCGCGTTATTTCAGAAAATTCGCGTTTCGCGAGTGACGTGCCGCCGAGCACGTCTGGCGCCCAATTTTCGCGTCGTTGCTCCTTGTCGGTCGCCAGAGGGACGAAATATCCTGAGGGCTGTCATCCTCCCTCCCGAAATCTTACGCGATTTCCACTTTTTCGTTTTGATCCGTGCTCGCGCGAGTTACCTATCTCACGGGAGCACGTGACAATATATATATATTACTATTAATTGTAATACTTACCATTATCACGTACAACTTATGTTATTTTCTCCTTTTTCCACAGAAGAGAATTTACTTAATAAAGTAGAAAACGGATAAAATATGAAAATGCAAAACAAATAGAACACAAGTCTCGTGGAACATAAAAAATGAAAAATGTGCACGCAATACAGTTTCGCGCGTTAGAAATTCTTTTAAAAATTTAAAAGATAATGCAACGGAAATACGTCCAGTGTATAACCTTTAAAAGTTTAAGTGTCAGTTTATTATCTCGCTGTTTCATTCCGATCGGAATCATCGTTTCGCCAGCTATCCCAAGGTGCCGGAAACTTTCCGATCGATTCGGAAACAATTCGAGTGTTCATAATAACCTATTTAGGAATATCTAGGGAAAAACGGAATAATTCCAATCGGAATCCATTCCGAAAAAGTTCATGATAGGTCCCCAGTACATGAACAAATATTAATTATATCTTTTCTCATTTTACTCTACCTATTCATTTAAGTTATTTTTAAAAATTTTATCTCATTTGACTGGGCTTTTCCCTATATCGTCTTCTTGACCTATCTTTTAAATTTACTGTTATTTATTTAATTTTACTTATTTATTAACACATACATATTTGTTCATTCTGGCACTTCCTTTTATGTCCCCACCAATCCGGTGTCTACTTGCTCGGGTTTTTTGCAAGTTTTCCCGACTCACTAACCATTTCGGAACTAAGCATTATCCTAGACTTAACTTTCATGTAATATGCTTAAATCATTCATGTAATATGCAGATTATAGGCTTGTCCCTGGTACTGCAATCCCAATCATTGGAAACAAAAAAAAGCGCGACAGACAGAAGCTTTCAGGGGACCTATCATGAACTTTTTCGGAATGGATTCCAAAAAAATAACATAAAACATAACATTATTTTAATAGATTCAGTATCATCTTGATAAAGAATAAAAGTATCATTGCACAGTCGATTCAAAATGTTGTAAATCTATAATCTTCAAATAATTTATATTAATACCCACACGGAACAAAACCTCCATTAGACGTCCGTATAGCCTCCATAGCTCCATACAATATCCACGTCCACGATGGAAGTTAAATAGATCTCCAAAAGAGATCCATACTATATCCATGATAGATGTCCTCCACAAATCTATCATCGATGTCCATTAGACATCTATTATGGATTTAAAAAAAAACCTGATATACGGCATCGCCGATAGATGGAGTCAGCAAAGTTGT